CAACCTCTCTATCTCCAGGCCCTGCGAGTTGAGAAGAGGGTGGGTCCCAGGGCCCTAACCCGTCCCCCTGGCTTGGGTAATCCCTCATGCCCTCAGAGCATCTCCCAGAAGGAGACACGGAAGAGCTGCAGCCGCAGCCACTGTCAATCCAGAAGGGGCTGAGGGGTTCGTGGTCTCACCTGGAATTGGGACTGGGACTAAAATCGTCATCATGCATTCCACAAACAGCGTTTATAGATAACTGTTGGGGATAGAGAAGAGGCTGTTTTCCTTAACTAATTTAATGCAGGGGTTATGGCAGGCACCAAAATATCTACAACACAGGGATACATGCAGGTAAAGGTAGAAAAGATATAAAATGCTTGGTGGTAATTAGGACCAAAGGGTTCAGACAGGGGCCCAGTAATCTAGTCACCCGGTGTTTTAGATGAGCAACCAGAAAGCAGTCAAAATGGCACCAAAGCATATAATGGGACAGTCTTCCACCTTGCCGCCTACCCTTCACGCTCCTCCTCCTCCAGGTCAGTGTCCAGACTTCACCTGAACCCCTAGTGCAGGAGCAAACACCCTGAGGAAGAACAAAAAGGTGCGGCAGCCTTTTACTTTTAAATTTTGCTCTCGTTGGCAATATGATGATCCTTCCAACATTTGGTTACAAAATAGTTCATTTAGTAAGTACCAGGCAAGCACTGTAGTAGGAGCCAGGCTCTGCGCTAGGCAGATCAGTCAGAGGTAAACCAGAAAGCATGTCCCTGACCTGGAGAGGCTCTGAGTCCAGTGATGCTTTTTCCTGTTCAGAAAGTTTGCTAACAAAGGCCTCATATTTGTATTTTTTCCTTAAAGACACTGTAATTGAGAAATATTGCTTAAAACTTTTAGAGGTTAAATTACATTTAGGTGTATATTCTAGCACTTAAACAATCACTGGAAAATCACTTGAACAAAATGAGAGCAATATAATACTATTCACAACTCTGCAGAGTTGCAGGTTTAAGTGCTGCAAATATCTTACTGTAAGCTGCACTGCTTACAGTTCAGAACATTTCGAGCACTCCACACAATTATATTTAGTGTGTTGTTATTAAAATTATTGGTAATTAAACTTGTTGCAATAAAAGATTGAGGACTGATTAGAAAGATCCACACAGTATGGCAAGAATGAATGAGGCAAAGAGAAAACAAGGGTGGAAAACTAAAGAGTGTTGTGGGTGTGTAAAATGCATACTGTGAAGTCCTACACACTTTCTAGAGATGGGCTGTAAATTTAGCTCCAAGCTGTCAAGAATCCAGTTTGAAGAGAATATCTGGCTATTAGTTCCTATTAGAGCTAAGAAAAAAACAAAAAAGAAAACAGGATTCAAAAAGTCAGTGTCAGAAGCATCAGAGTACTGTCCCTTTGTAGCTAGGCATCCACTGTCCCAATCCTCCCCCCCCTTTTTAAAATAATGGTTTTATGGTATGTTATTATTTTAAAATTTTTATTTAAAACATTTTCTTTGGAGATGGGGTCTTGCTATGTTGCCCAGGCTGGACTCAAACTACTGGCCTCAAGTGATCCTCCCACCTTGGCCTCCCAAAGTGCTGGTATTACAGGTGTGAGCCACTGAGCTCGACCTTCTCATGTATTCTTGTAGTGATAGAATCCTACCCCATACAGTGGGCCAATCGCTGCCAAGCTAGGCTTTTATTTCTGGGCCTCTCTTGCAGCAGGATCAGGCTATATGCCAAAGTTTTTACAGAGGACAAGAATAAGAGTGACGTAGGCAACATGTGTGTCACGTCCTTAAAATTGCTAAAGGGAGGCCAAGGCAGGAGGATTGACTGAGGTCAGGAGTTTGAGACCAGCCTGAGTAAGAGTCAGACCCCATCTCCAGCTGGGCCCAGTGGTGCGTGTGTGTAGTCCCAGCTACTAGGGAGGCTGAGGCAGAAGGATCACTTGAGCCCAGGAATGGGAGGTTGGAGGATGCAGCGAGTTATGATGATGCCACTTGCACTCTAGCTGGGGCGACAGAGTGCAACTCTGCCACTCTGTTTTGAGGCAGAATCCCACTCTGCCTCAAAAACAAAAAAAAAGGAAAAGAGAAAAATGCCAGAAAATTGCTAAAATGTTAACAATTGGTGAAGCTAGGTGAAGGGTGCATAGGTGTTCACTGCATTATTCTTTCAAATATTCAGGAGGCTTGAAATTTTCAAAATAAAGAGATGGGGGTAAAAAAAAGGAAACTGCTTATTCTCCTCTCTCGCCCCTTTCCACTGGCTAGGACACGCAGTGGTGAGCCCCCTCAGTCATACAAACCACCCAAGTCCTTGTGACTCAAAGTGTGGTCTGTGGTCCAGAAGCATCAGCACCACCTGGGAGCTTGCTGAAAATGCAGAACCCCAGCCCCACCCAGACTGCGTCAGACCGGCATGTAACTCAGAATCTGTAGTCGGCAGCATCCTCACTGAACCGGAGGCACGTCAGAGCTGAGAAGTGCTCCCCAGGTGACAGCAGACTCACAACACTGTTCTTTCCGGGGTTCCATGTACAGCACTGTAAGATGAACTTGCAAAAATGAGGCATATAATATATATCCATTCAAACTTTAAAAACACTCTTTTAAAACACAAATGAGAAATTACTACAAGGAATATTTGAGGTATAAAAACTCATTCCACCCTCTTCTATCATGTGGGTGGCATCGATTCCACCCCTTGATCCATTGGTCCCTAATTGGTCTAACCAGTTAAGGTCA